TTAATTAGTGTAGCTTTTAAGGAAGTTTTGTAATCAGGAAATATAAGTCCTTCAATTTTGTTTACAATTATTTTGGATACTCATGATCCTTTGCACTTCCATATAAATATAAAAATAAGTTGTCAATTTCTGCAAAGAAACTAGCTGGAATTTTGAAGAGGACTATATTGAATCTGTAGATCAATTTGGGGAGAATTGTCATCTTAGCAATATTAATATTATCAGTTTTGCTGGTGATGATCCAGGATAATCAACTGAGAAATTTTTAAACAGATACAAAGTTGGCCAGGTGCAGTATAGATATAAAAATTAGCATAGTTTGTATAAGTTGAAATCAACCATATAGCAATAGAAGAAACAAAAATGAAAGTATATATAAGATACCAAGGAATATCTTACTTTTAAAAAGGCAAAATCTCTATAAGCAAAACAACAGGACTCTACCAACATATAGAAAAAGAACACAGAGAAATTGGAGGAATCTCATATACAAATACTACAATCAGACCTGAATTTCAGTCTCCACTTTGCCTCTAATCAGCTATGTGATTTTTGAAAAGACTGTAATTTCGGTAGACCTCATTTGTTAAATGAGGCCCATAATAGTTCCAATCCAATGAGATTATTTTGAAAATTGCATAAGATAATATTTATGTTGTATTTCTGAAACATCAAAAGTATTCATTAAACAACAAGTACTGTCTGACTGTTTCTACAAAGATGTAAGTTCATCTCAAATTAACGTAAATATTCAATCAACATCCCAAAATAATTTTTTTTTGGTGACAAACATCATCTGAATTTTTTTAGGAAATATAATGGGGCAGAATTGCTTAAAAAGCCTCTTGAAAAATAAACACAAAGTCTGAGGAGAGCTTTTCCTATTTAAATGCATTCTAAAGCATCGGTAATTCTAAAAATATTGTACTTATAACATTTGACAGATTGTTGAACCAGAAAAGATAGCTCAGAAACAAAGGCTAGAATTCTTAAGGGTTTCATTTATGATACAAATGGCATTACAAATCCATAGACAAGGAAAAATTATTTGATATATGGTGTTTACACAATTAGCGATCTATGAGAGGACATATTGCAAATACTCAGCATTCGTAAGAGAAAACAATAAGCTTCATAATAAACTATGAGCTGAATGTATAAAACAAAAAGCACAAATGAAAAGAAACTATCACGATATTATCTGTCTGCTTTGAGATTTTAGGCTGAGTTCCCAAGTATGAAAGCAGTAGAAAAAAAGTCATGAAAAAAATTGATTTTATATTACAAAAATTAAAAATTTCTTCATAATATCAGAATCAAAAGGAAATCAGTACCTGAGGAAAATATTACAAATCTACTAGGCAAATCATCACCACTGTTATTAAAATAAATGGTATAAATTAATTAGAAAAATGATAAAATTCCCAGAGAAAAAATAGGCAAAAATAGTATATAATTTACTGAAGTATGAATCATTAATAAATTTATGACGAGTGCCCCACCCCACTGATAATCAAAGAAATGCAAATTTAACAATGGTTATCCACTTGCAACTTAGATGTCAGATGCAGTCTCCTTAGACCCAAGTCCCAGGCTCACAGCCTGAGGACTTCCAGTGCACCCTCCAACATTTCTGTGGACTCAAGCTATTTTAGGTCATGTCTCAGTGCAGACTTTTGCATCTCTGACTCTCACCCTGTAATGGACACAAACTGTCTTTTAGTTTGTGTATCCAGCCCCCTTTCTATTTCCTTGTTCCTTATTAGGCAAAATATTGATAGGACTGCAAATCAAGGTGATCTGTTCACTCAGAGACAAGGACACGAGTTGTGATTCAGATAGAGCATTCAGAATTTGTTCCCAGGGCAAAAAAAAAAAAAAATCAGATGGTGGTGGAAGTCACAGAGAACACAAGCAAGAGAGGGCTAGAACCTACCTACAGCTTCTTTAGCTGGTAGGACAGGCTCAGCCTGGGTCACCACATCATAAAAATATATAGATGGCACCCCAGTTCCATTGAAGTCCAGCAGGACCCAATCCAAGAAGAGATTCATTAAGTGACAAAATCCAGTGTTCATAAAAGTTGGCGTTCCCTTGTTTGATAAATGCATTGTCTCTGTGTTCTGAGTTTATAGTCAGATGTGCAAGAGAATGTTTAGAGGGGTAGACTCTTCCCTGACACTTCTATTCTGCATCTGGACTTCATAATTTGTTGTAGGAATTCAGATTGTTCCTAAAACAACCTTTATTTTTGCTATTGTTCAGAGAGAAATGAAGGATTATCTGTTTAGAGTATTAATCTTCAGTTGTTTCCATGGATACCTGATTCACTTAAAAATGAAGCAAAGGGGAATAAGGGACTCGGAGGCCAAAGGATCTGTCTTTCGTTCCTGGTGGATGAAAAATCAGGGGCTTAGGGAGGTGGAGCTATAAACCCCATTGCAGTGGCATGGATTGGTTAAACGGTAAAGCTCCAGTTGGTGTGTTTGGGAAAGAGGAAATGTGTTTAATTATTTTTTATAGTTGGTGTAGTAGCATCTGAGTTTCTGCTTAAAGGAAGAATCCATTTTCAGATCAGACCCAAAGAAAGGGTTGTAATTCTTGCCAAGAGGATTGGACTATAAACACACTGTCCACCAGACTCAAAGAGGGGAAGCTGGTGTGCAATACGGAAGAATCTGGGCAGTCTACCTTTAAGCAGAAGGCACCAATCCTAGGACCACAACTGCTCAGACATTTCATTACGTGCTAGTATCTAAAGTTTGATTTTCAAATGATAGTATGTGGAAACCAGGATTTTAGCGTCGTGCAGTCTCACATTATGCCAATCATCAATGAGAAGCACATACCAAGGGATAAACTGGCCCAGGACAAAACTGGACAGACTGCAGAGAACCAGCAGAAGCTGAGTGGCAAGTAAAGAGAAATTGGGGCCAGAGAAAATGAACAATTCTTTCAGTCACACCTGCTGAATAATTCCACCAACTCTTCCTACAAGAAAAGAGGGAAGGTTCCAAATCATGTCAGAATTCCTTTGCATTTTATTCATATTTTGTTTTGTATTATTACACTTCCATTGACCAGTTTACCATTATGCATTGGGATTTCTTGATAAAGTGAAGGGGAAATTTTGGATATTCTTTTAAAGATTTCATTATCTTTATTGAAGTACCATTGCTTTACATCTTCTTTTATGTCAGGGTGTGAAGGAAAATGGTGGAAAGACTAGCAGTGGAGGTGTTAATCCTTAGAAAACTTTTAGGGATTTAAAAAAACTGTAAATATTAGCTTCAAATTGTATCATTATTAAACAACAAAGAATAAAAAAAGTAACAGTCAAGATACAATTCAATACATCTCCAAAGCTTAGTTGAATTAGATACAAAAATAACAAAATAGAAACTACAAAAATAACAGAAATTAATAAATTTTTATCTCAATTTGAGATGAATTTACATCTCAGAAGAAAAATCCTAATAGTGCTTTCAAAAACACTTAGGAGTTAGGGCCTCCCTGGTGGCGCAGCGGTTGAGTGCTGGGCTGCGAAGCTGCCTGCAGCCTCTGTAGCGATGGTTCGATCCCCGGCCACAGGTGAGGGTTCAACACGGCGTGCAGACCTCTCCTGCCTCACTCCCCGCTCTGGCTCTGGTGAATTCTCTCACCCTCCCACACTTCTGACTGTACCCAGTGCTTGTATAAATAAGTAAATAAATCTTAAAAAAAAAAACAAGCACTTAGGATCATATAGTTATAAACTACAGAAAAGGTAGGACACTTTCAAGCTTACTCTATATCATAATTCTGAAAGCATGCTAGGACAAAAACAGAACAAAGGATGAAAGAACAGCCAATTCTTCTCTGAACACAGATGTGTACAGCATAAATGAAATTATAGCAAATATAATGTAACAGCATGTTAGAAGAATAATTTACTATACCATGTAGAGGTTAATCTAGCAAACTTAAGAAATAAATCAACAAACTATCCATCATTAATAGCACAAAAGGAAAAGTATATTTGATGATCTCCTTAGTTGGCAAAATGGCATTTGCTAAAATTTAGCTTCCATTGGTGATTAAATAAAAAAACACTAGAAAATATTAGAAGATTGTTTCCTTTACATATTACAGATTTGATCTTATATTGAATGAAGAAACACACTAGAATGGATTTCATTAAAAGCAGGAGTAATAAAAATAATGCCTGTTATCACATTCACTATTTAATATAGCTAAAATTTTAGCCAGTTGCATTAAACAAAGCAATGAAAACAAAAGATATTTTATTGGAAAGGAAAAGAGAAAATTGTCAATATCTACAGACGTGGAATGAATTAGGAAACTATTAGGATTAATGTAAGAATTCAGTAAAGTTATCTCATTAATATATTGATATACAGCAATAAGCTGAGAATAGAAGGGAAAATATATTTTATTTTAAGGTGTTAACAAATAGTCAATTAAATTTACTAATTATTAATCACTGCAATGAATAATTCCTAACTATGAACCATATGTTTATTGTATAATATTGTACTTAATTTACAATGTAAATTTTTGAGTACCAATTATTAATATATTCATTTTTATAGATAAGATAATGGGATCAGAGGAATTGCGTAATTTACCCAAGGTCACACAACCAGTATTTACCAATATCAAGGTATGGGACCCATGTTTAACTTCAGGGTTCAGGTACTTTTCTACGACTTCATATTGTCTTCCAAATATGTTTATTTTAAAAACACATTTTCTAATGTTGGTGTTTAGTGAAGAGATGTAATTTTTAAGTTCCTGATTTTTGTAATATCTTTCTGTTTTCTTCTAGTGCTTTTGTTTTTTTATGTTTAAGTCTTTAATATTCACCTGAAAATTTTACAAGTTGTGAGATAATCATTTAAAAATGGAAAGGCAATTGTTTAAAAATGATTTAATTGCACACTTTCCTCATAAATATAAAATATTCCTAATTGGGATATTTTTGTAGGAGCGTTTCTGAGCCATTCCTTGTCTTGTCACCTGTGCAATACCATTTTGATCCCTGCTTTGGTATCTCTTGCGGTCAGGTTCCCCATCATTATTCTTCATTAAAAAAATGTTCTGGGATGTGCTTCCAGTTTTATCTTTGAAGGAGGTAAAATCAGTTGTCCACCGTTCTAAGGATAGTATTTAGAAACCATTTTAAATTGAAAGTCATTTTAAATCAGTACTGTGAACCTCTTCCCTAGGAATATGAAAGTTATTCATCTGGTTCTTTAAAATATGGAGCCAACTCTGCACGTATATGAAAGGAGGGAATTAAGGATGCCCATGGTTTGAGCAACTAGCAAGATTAAATCTGCAAATGGAGATAAGTTGCTCTGTTTTAAGAAATACTGTGATCTTCCATTAAAAATGCCCCCCTGGGGATTTTGTTACCTCTTTATCTGAGTTTTGCAGTGAGAAATGAGACCATTCTGACTCTTAGGTGATGATTGAAGGTGATTGAAGACCTGATGGTTGACTTATAAAAGTGTCCACCCTGGAGATTCCTCCCCTGAGCCCAGATAACAACAACCCTTTCATATTATAAGGAATCTCACAAGATGCTCATGGGAAATGCAAACTCCCAAAACCCAGTTGTAGAGGCAACTGGGCTGAAGTGCAAAGTAGCCACAGATGTTTCTAATAACTCTCTCACCTCAACCCAAACTGCAGGTGAGTCATTAAGGCAGGCTGGCTCAGCCTCCATTACAACAGGGAGGGAGGGTTTCATTGGAATGAAACTGGAATAATCATTGGCTACCTCTGGAATAATCATTGGCTACCTCTGTAGGTTGCTGATGTCATTTGTCTGAATACTTTCTAATCTGCCATTTAATTTTCAGATTCTAAATCAACCATTAGCACAATGGGAGTAGCTGAGTTCTCCCAGAATGGAAAGAAAGAAGATGTGAGAGACACGTGTGTGCCTGGTTGCACAGGCAGGACCCTGGCTCCCCAGGAATTATTTAGGGTCTCGTGTCTCTGCTGCTGGATCATTCCTCTGTAGTCAATGCAACCTACTGCATTAACCATGGTCTAGTTTAGAATAAAAGTTCAAAGTCGTCAGCATGGCATGGAAGTGCAGACTGTGCACTTCCCAGGACTGGCTCTCAGCCCTGTTCACTAGTTCAGGTCCTTGGGCATCTTCCTTAATGTTTCTTGGCCTTGGTGTCCCTATCTGTGAAATAATGACATTAATATCTCCCCAGCAGGGAGGGGAAGTATTAGAATCAATGTATGCAAGGTACGTGCAATGTAAAAGATGCTCTGTAAGTGGTAGCTTTTATGGTTCCACATACAACTCTTGCTGGACAAATGGGCAGGTTTGTTTGGGACTCAGGAGTTTCCCAGGATGAAGTGTTTGGTGGGAAAGCTGGGACAGTCTCGGGAAAACAGGGGTGGTTAGTCATCTACTATGGGGAGAAATTACAATGCGTCCCATAGGCATCTGCTGTCAATTTGCTTGCGATTTAGGGTGGAGGTGGCACATGCAAGGAAACTGAGTCACCCATGCTCTGCAGGCATGGCTGCCAGCTCACACATTTCTTCTCTGTTGCCTTGCAGGGCGGCAGTGTTGGGAGCGGCGCAGGAAGGAGAAAAGACAACTCAAAGTCCAAGCAGCGAGAGACAGAAAGAGAGAGAGAGACAGAGTTGTAGAGGGGCTCACATCTCTGGAGATACAGCGCCCTTTTCCCTGGGCCAGTCTCACATTTATTGGGTATCGGACTCAGGGAAGGTGGCACATCCGTGGAGGAATGTGTGGCGGAATGTGCATGATGGGGATGTGGATTGGGGTACATAATAATCTGGCACAACTGATACACAATAATGTATCTGGCACAATAATCTGGGGGGAGTGAATCTGGGCTGTTGCCTGGGGGGCTCCATTGTTGCTGCTGATCAAAGCATCCTCTCTCTAGTCCCTGTGTACACTTACCTTCCTGTCTAGGTAGTCTAGCTGGTTGTGCTAATCTGGCCATAATGTCTGCTGCTGTTTCCAGCAGATATCCTCATACCAAGGCTTTTGCCCTGGTGAGGGGCCCCCTGCCTGACTCTGCATTTTAGTTTGACCAGCAGCAACTCTGGGCACCAAGACTACATCCTGAGAACAAGGGGGGCTGGGAAATTCATAATTCTCTCCGAGGGAACCCGTCCTCAGAAGTTTTCCCAACACGGGCGACCACGTTGTGTTGCAGGTCAGAAATGACAGAAGAAATGAAACTTGCTTGGCTCCTTAGGCAGTGGCTAGGGTTTCCAAAATTCCCTCTTTCTCCAAAATGAAAGTTTCCGTGTCTGTGACTTGGACTCCAGCTAGACCTTGAGAGTGAAAACAGTTTCACACTCCTTTGTGATTTTCTTCAATCTCTTAAAACATGAACATTTTCATTAATACCTGACAGAAGAATGTGCAAACACAAAAAGAATGAAAAGGTACTTTAAAATGAAGACCTGAAAGAAAGAACAACTTTTTGTAAAAAGTCTCAGGATATAGTATGTCCACTGATTTTGGAAGCGATATCAAGAGCTTCCTTCTGAATGGTTCTGCTAAACTCAGGAGCAAATGTTGGAGGAGATTTTTAAGAAATGTTTTCTCTATCTAGTATGTTAAAGTTCTGGAGTGAATAGGAGCCAAGGGGGGGAAATACACACACTGGGCTGGATGGAGCTATAGAGACAGCTTCACCAGTTCCATTAGGTTACAGTTTTAATATCCTTCTGTGTCTTTTCCAGATCAAAGGTTTCAAGTGGGGGGCACATCTTTCTCTTCACAGGTTGTGTGCACAACCCAGAATCCTTAGTGTTCCCAGTGACCATGGACCACGTGGATATCAGTGATGGGTAAATCAAACAAAGCCAGAGAGCAGATTCAGAGAGGTAACCAGACCCTCAAGTGTGCATACAGGTGTCATGGGGTCACCGCCTCCCCCACTCTTCAAGGCAGTCGCTCCTCCCAGCAGACGAGCACAGCATTAGCTACTTCCCAGGGATTTCGGGTGGTTTTGGAGTCCTGTGCTGATTCTAGCTTGACCTGACTATTTTCTTACTGTGTGACCTGGGACAAGTTATTTGACCTCTCTGAACTTCATGGACTAAGCAGGTGCAGCTTCTGGTTGTGGTGAAGACTCACTGAGCAGAGAGAGCTCATGGCAAATATGAGCTCCATGTCTTTGACTCCCTTCAGCTTTGGTTCCTTGGCTTGATTGACACTTTGAGTATATTAACCTTACACGCTTGGGTAGCATTTCATGCTCTTGTCCTTGACCTCTATTCCACGTGACCTGTAAGCACCTGGTGGGCAGGACCAGCATCGCCCTTACTTTTGCTTAGTTTATGAGTGATTATGAAATTCTAGTAGAATACAAAAAAAAAAAGAGTTCAGCAACCAGAATAGAAAGCTTAATACATACGATTAGTCCATCATTGAATAATTATATGGAAATTAAGACCATGTTTTTAAAAGTTTATCAGAAAGGTGGTTCATGATATAATATCATATGAAAAGGGAAGGATATAAAATTATCTATTTTGTGTGTTGCCAGCACTACAATGTATATGAGCCAAGAAGAAAAAGATCTGGAAGGATAGTCATCAGAACACTTGCCATGGTTATATCATCACCACGTATCAAAGGTTAGTGGATTTACTTCATTTCTTTCTTGTCCCTGTATCCAAACCATCTACAGTAAGCGTATATTACTTGATGATCAGATGGAAAAAAAAAACTAGTCATTTTTTTCTTATGCAAGACAGAGGGACTATCCCATTATAAAATAAATTTCCTGAGGATGCTGCAAATGCTGCTTTAGGAAAATTGAACTTGTTAACCTTGTTTTCTCTGTTCTGTGCCCCGCCCTGTGTAGTGCCAGTGCGGTTGTGTTATTCTGTTGCATTAAATGTTCACCTCAAGGTTAAAGAGAAATGGAGAGAGAAATAATTCCCTGCAGGGACTGGGCAACTTGTTTATAATCCCTTGTCAAATGCGCTTGAGATTTCAATGTCCTAAACGGGGGCCTCCCTGCTTCGTTCCATTACCAGGCAAGTAGCTAGCCTTGATCTCTGCACACTCGTGGCAATCCCTGAAAATACATAGTGGCAGGCCAGAGAATGCCTCTGAACACCTGGCCTGTGGTGACCGGCTGACAGTGGGGCTGACTAACTAGTTCACGGTCAAGCGCTACGGTGCTGTCACTCCTGAGCTCTTGACCTTGGGCAAATGGTTTATGTCCCGTCTACAAAGTAGGGGGATAATAACCTTGCTTTGCCTGCAGGGAGATGGCAAAAATTCAATGAGATCATGCTGGGCACATTCCTAACCTAACACACAGATTTCTGGTAGTGTTTGGTGAAAGGAGACAAACTTTTGCCTGGAGCACCCAGGTTCAAAACTCATCTCACCGCTTAATAGCTGTGACAAATGGTGTCAATTAAACTGTTTCAGGCTTGGTCTTCACATCTGCAAAATGGGGCGGCCATGCCTGCTTCTAAGTGTGCTTTTGGGGAGTAGCAAGCATGGGTGTAACTGACAGAAACTAACAGAGGCCAGGCAGGCAATGTGGGTGCTTGACTGGGTTGGGAGTGACGAGCTAGACAGCTCGTGTTGACTCAGCACCAGCTCCCTGTGACCATCCAGGGATTCAGAAATGTGAGCCTGTGGTCAGCTCTGAGTTTTTAAGAGAAGCGAGGAATTTCAGTCTTTATAGGAAATTCACCAGTCCTTAAATGTTGGCAAATACAGACTTTTCTGGCAACGTCTTGCAAGCCTCCAGTGGATTGGCGTCCCAGATGTTCAATCATGTCCATTGTAAGGAACTGTGCAGAAGGCAGAGTATGCCTGATTCTTCCTCAACTATACTATTTCTCTCTGTGTGACTTTGGGCAAGTTGTTTGACCTCTTTGAACTTCATGTACAAAGCAGGTCATCCCCTGGTTGTGTGATGTTGGCTTGTCCTCGTGACTTGCTCTGGCCAATGGATGCAGCGGGAGCACATGTGCTGTGACTCAGCCTGATTTCTCTCATTTCTTCCAAAATCTGCCAAGAAGAGAGGATGTGCTGAGGCCACTGCCCCAGAAGAGACCTGAAAGCTGAGCTGTCTCCATGGAGGGGCTCTGAGAAGGAAGAGCAGCAGCAGCTCTGCCCCAGCGAGTGATTCACCCTTCTCAGAGTTCGTGGGGGACACAACAGGCATTGGAATCAGCACTGTGAATCCACCACCCTGCATGTCCAGCCCGGCCAACCTAGTGGCTTCTGCCCCAGCTGGTATCTGAGTCCCTAGATGCAAACCACCCATCAGAGGCCAGTGAGCTCTCAGAAGGGCAACTGAGAGTGAGAAATTGTTCTCTTGAGTCACTAAGGTTTGGATTGATTTGCCATGTGGCAGTTGGTCACTGGTCAGATGTTAACTAAACTGTCCTAAGCAACATGCCTATTGGTCACTTGAAGGATTGATCCAAGAAAAACCTAAAATGTTGAGATGGGGTAGGGGGTGTCCTGGAAGTGCTTAGCATGGGCTAGTGGGGAGCCATAATGCAGCTGATTCTGTTGTTGCTGAACCACATACTTTGTGCAAAATGTTCACCTTCTAGGGAGTCAAAGTGATGGTGTAGAAAGAGCGTAAGCTTTGTGGTCAAGATAGATCCTGATTCCAATGCCTGCTGCGTCCCCCACGATCTCTGAGAAGGGTGAATCGCTGGGGCAGACAGTGCCAGCGCAGGTGTGCTTCCTGAGACCATCAGCTCGCACAGGCCAAGGTGATAATTGGCCCCTCTTTGCAGAACTGCCCTTGACTAATGAGAACCATTCACTGTGAAGGCTGCATCCCTCCTACTGCCCATCCCCTAGCCCAAGACTGACTGGTACGTGCGCACCACAGCCTGGTATCTTAGCTCACAGAGGGGAGAGGGGTGGGCAGGTAGGAGGGGGCTGTGCTCTGAGCCCTCCCAGATGGACCAGCCCCAAGAAAACTGACCCCTTGTGTCTAGTTTTCCTAGGATCTTTCTCCATCTTCATCCTACCCCCTAGCCCTTAGAGAGGTAGACCCCAGAGGTACCCCCTCAAATCACCCTCTGTAGGGTAGGTAAAAGGTATCAGGCTTTTCTGCCCTCCTGCCATTAGGATAGATGAGGGAACCCTGTGGTCCTGAATGCATGCCTGATGGCGGGCACCTGAAGTAGGTACACCTGGGCTGAGAGACTGGACTTTTAAGGGCGGCGTCACGGGGACGCCAGCAGCAGCAGCAGAAGCTAAGAGAGAGAGAGAGAGAAGGCCGGAGAGCCCAGATAGAGTGAAGACTTGCTGGGGGCTGGGAGGCCTGCCAGCCTCCAGGCCCCCCAGCACCCCTGCCTGCTTTGTACCAGTAAATCCCAATAAAAGACCTGCAAAAACCACTGAGGACCCTGACTCCTCTTTTACCCGGTCTGCATGGGATCAGAAAACCTGCTCAGTGGCCATTCCGGCCTCTACAATTGGCGTAAGTCAGCAAGATGATCCATGCAGATGGGTATGGAGGCCTCCGAAGACCTGGAGGGACTAAGGAGTAACAGACTGTTTGCCTGTGACGATGCTGGAGGCGCCATGGCGGCACAGGAGATGGACAAGGTCCGGGAGCTGCGGGACGAGACCTCGCATGGAGGAGACGCCCGAGAGGACCAGCCCAAGACAGCCGAGGCAGCAGAATTGTTGGGGAAGAGAGGACCACGATTCGGAGCTTGCCAGTGCTGATGCAGGGAGAGGCCAACGGACTTGGACTAATGGACTTGGACTGACAATCCCTCCAGAAGGCGGAGGACCTTGGCAGGTTATGTTTTTTTGAGAATCTGGGGGTGGCCAGTGGGCCTTATTGGCCAAAAGCAGCCTGTGTATGCCCAGCAGCCAGGCAGAGGAGAAAAGCCAAGTGAGAAGGCAAAAGCTGATGCTGATGCTAAGTTAGGGAAGCCCTGAGTGGCTGCTAAGCACTAAGTAAGCTGAGGAAGGCCAGTGAGTCTCCTAAAATCACCTGTGGGTGATGCCCTGCTCATTGTCGAGTGAGGGTGAGTTGCTGAGGAACCCGTCCTTGGGGGACGGGTGGGGAACGTGGCTTGGGGTGGAGCCCAAGCCGCATGTAGAGTTTGGATCCCCGACCCATGTGCTCGTGCAGTGGGTTGGCCTGAGTGCAGGAGTCTGCGAGTCGCATGGGTGGCTATGAAGGCCGAGTGTTGGAGCGACTGCAGACAGAAACCCTGAGGGTTGGCGATTACCCCCAACAGAATAGAATCACCAATCCCAGAGCTAGTGCATCCTGGGGGTGGATGCTGTGTGTGACTTGTAGCCGAGACTACAGCCAGAGAAGGCCAGGAAGCCTGGCGGCTCCTGGTACGTTATAGTAGATGCCGTGAGTGGTTCCCCTCCCTCGTATGAGCAGTGCCTTCGGCAGCAGATGTGGTGGCTCATCTGCTGGTACCAATAATTGTCTTTTGCACTAGGTTGTGGCCCTGCCTGGACTTATTTGTGTTCTGTTGTATTGTTATATTGCGATGTATTTGCTTTTGTGGGCCATGGCTGCATTGTTTATGTTAGCTAGGAAAATTGTATATATGTAGATTGTATGGCAGAAAACCCTGAGGGGGTGGACTTAGGGTAGGTAAAATGTATCAGGCTTTTCTGCCCTCCTGCCATTAGGACAGATGAGGGAACCCTGTGGTCCTGAATGCATGCCTGATGGAGGGCACCTGAAGTGGGTACACCTGGGCTGAGAGACTGGACTTTTAAGGGCGGCGTCACGGGGATGCCAGCAGCAGCAGTAGCAGAAGGGGAGAGACGAGAGAGAGAGACGAGAGAGAGAGAGACGAGAGAGAGAGAGACGAGAGAGAGAGAGAGAGACGAGAGAGAGAGAGAGAGAGAGAGAGAGAGAGAGACGAGAGAGAGAGACGAGAGAGAGAGAGAGACGAGAGAGAGAGAGAGACGAGAGAGAGAGAGACGAGAGAGAGAGAGACCGAGAGAGAGAGAGAGACGAGACGAGAGAGAGAGAGACGAGAGAGAGACGAGAGAGAGACGAGAGAGAGAGACGAGAGAGAGAGACGAGAGAGAGAGACGAGAGAGAGAGACGAGAGAGAGAGACGAGAGAGAGAGACGAGAGAGAGACGAGAGAGAGAGAGACGAGAGAGAGAGAGACGAGAGAGAGAGAGACGAGAGAGAGAGACGAGAGAGAGAGACGAGAGAGAGAGAGACGAGAGAGAGAGAGACGAGAGAGAGAGACGAGAGAGAGAGACGAGAGAGAGAGAGAGAGAGAGAAGGCCGGAGAGCCCAGATAGAGTGAAGACTTGCTGGGGGCTGGGAGGTCTACCAGCCTCCCGGCCCTCCAGCACCCCTGCCTGCTGTGTACCGGGCAAATCCCAATAAAAGTCTGCAAAAGCCACTGAGGACTCCTTTACCCGGTCTGCTGGATCACAGAAAACCTGCACCATGTCCATTCCTGCCCCTACACCCCTCCCCCCACCCGGCAATAAAACATGTGTCCCCAAATCCTGGGAATCCCCATCTAAGACACCTGCACTTAGGATAAGATAAGGGGATAAGGATAAGATAAGGGGGAAGTTCTCCACATAAAAAAAGTCCTGCAGTGAATTTCCCATACTTTCTTTGTAACGAATCTTGTAGAAAAAGGGCCAACTAGGCATTGATTTTATTTTATTTTATTTTAAAACAGAGATACGGGATGTCGCCGTGGTGGAGTGGTGAAGGATAATTGAAATTATATCCGTGGCTCTTAAACAGAGCGGTTGGGGGCAGCGTAAGCACCAGCCAGTGGAGACCAGCACCCTGTGTTGGCCGGAGCAGACTGCAGCGAGCAGGAAAAGAAACCACACTTTAGAAAAAACATCACCGTTTCAGGATCCCACTCCATTTGGACGCTGGGCAATAAATCCAGGCTCAAACCATTTCATCATTGTGAGCAGGTTTCCCGTCTGTGTTTATCAATAGCCAGACTCATGTGCTTTGGTCATTAACACAGTTTATTATTGGCACACTTATCAGGAAAGCATACATAAAATACAGCTGTTTTATAACACACGGGGCCACTGTGTCTTTACATGTGTGGAGAAACATATTAATATGCAAATGGAAAATTAGTTGGTTTTCTTTTTATAAAGTTTCACATAAATACACTGGAATTGTCCCAAAGAAAAGTCCCCAGAAAAGAACCAGGTGAAGGCTTTACAAAATATCATACAAGGAATATACCATGAAAAGAAACGATAGCCAACTCAGATACAATAAAAAACACAAAAAAGTTTCCGATTTATTAAACTGCCCATGAAATTAATGGATAACATGGCTTGAAAATATTTGGATCAACAGCAATTTTTACAAACGCATCAATTCTCAAGGGGCCAAGCCTCTTTCTTTACATAAAAATCTGCATTGGTGTCTCGGATGACACAAGCACATTTCTTGTTTCAGCGCTCCTTGGGGCCTCGGTCAACCCACTGCCGGGGCGCACCCCAAGGTCGGGCCGGGTCGGGCCCGGCCGGGCCCTCTGAGCTTGTTACCCAATGCAAAAAAAGGTGAAGAAAAAAATATATATAGGTACATTTAAATGACTTTCTAAAAGCTGATTTTTTTCTTTTCTTTTTTTACTGAAACAAGAAACTCTCAGATGCAAGTCAAAAAGCAGAAAATATTTTACAATATTAAAAAGTCATCTGTAGTTAGTTAGGTCCGGCCTAGGATTGCCATCCTGAGCACCGAGGACTTGCAGACTAGATGGCCTTCCTTGGGTGCAGGGAAAAGAGCTGCAACGCAAACACACACCCCTGGTTTTCATTCCCGCCAGGGCCGGGCCACCTGCACGGGCCTCCAAGGAAGGGCATGGAGTCGATTTGGAATGAGCCTCTCCATGGAAAAGAAAAAACCAAAACGAAAGAAAGAAACTCAGGTCATTGTGGTTTAGAAACAGACTCTGCTGGAGGCGTCTGCGCGTCTCCATGCTCTCCCATGAGCAAAGCTCTGCAGCAGCAAGCAGCCCCGGCCCCCCGACGTGCGGGCCTGCGGGTTCTTACTGGGAAGCCTGCGGCGGGGGGTTTTCTGATTTGGTCTCTTGGGTGGCGGGAGGCTTACTGTTCCACGGGCTGCTGTTCCCCAGGGCGGGTGAATTGTTGAAGTCTTCCTCGTCGTCCATGCCGTTGGCCGCATCATATTGCGTGTTTTCTAATCTAGTGATTAGCCTTTCGTCCTCGTCCCCAAACTCACCTCCCATCAGAGTTGGCTCTCCTACCACCATCACATCCTGTGAACAGCAGCTGACATTATTACAGGGAAACCTTGGGAGAGAGAAGCTCAGCGTAAAACAATAGTGGGAGATGCTGGGGGGTCTAGGACAGGCGCGCTCCTGTCCTGGACACCGGGGTCAAGTCTCAGTGTCCGGGGGGCCGAGACGCATATTGGATTTCTACAGGGAATAAACATCGCCTCCTGCCGTGTAACAACCACGCGAGTTTATGTCCTTAGTGTGCAGCCTGACACCGGAGAACGAGCAATGCTAGCAATCTGCAGAAATAAAAAAATGGATTTTTCAAAATTAAAAAAATCCACGCTTTTAACTTGCCGACATTGGGGACTTTTGAGAGGACGAGCGGAACCTTCTTCGGGGTGCTTTGCAATACCTCCAGACATCCACCGCTTTTATCTTTAGGGCCTCGGGATGGCTTTGGAAACTACCAGCGAGCCTGGGTGGGATGCAATTCTGCAAGATTCACGCAACTCATTCCAAATGGCATTTCCTCTGTCCCAAGGATGGTCTACATTTTAATTGAAGACAGAATCTCTCTTTTCTCTACTCAGCCAGGCCCTTTTATGCAGCCAATATCCTTGACATTCTGCTACTTAATTATGGTAATTAATTTAGGTAAAGTTTTCGATAAAAACAATGTTCACACTGATTTGACAATTTGCATAGCTAATTAAGTCATTAGCAAAAACCTGCTGATTGCCAACAAGCCCTGAATTTACCATCTGTTATTTCATGGTGCTGTCACCTATCCCCACACAGGCAACCCTGCCACCCATCTGGGCAGTAAAGAGAACCAGTCTGTCCAGCTGGTGCGGCAAAAGGAAGATGAAGAACGCTAATTATAATTACACTGATGAAGCTGGGAGCCATCAGAAAGGGAAGCGTGCAAGAAGAATCCATCTAATCACTCCTTTAAGCACAAACTGTCCTTCCATGCAAACAAGGATGCCACCTACTATAGCTGGGAGCACCACGGGGCCCACGGCCAGAGAGGCACAGAGAAAGGCCAGAAAGGCAGCCCCAGCTCCTGCCTCAGGGGGCCCTCAGGGGCTTGGGATCTGGGCATGGGCAGGAGCCTGGGGGAGGGGTTGTTGCTGGGCAAGCTCTGGGCAGCAGCCTATTTAAATGACCCTAGGAGAGCGAGAGTCCCCGGGGACCAGAGAAAGTGGGGCTGAGCCAGATGCTTTCAGAAATGGAAGCATGTGTTTCTGGGTAAGGAGGCTAACTCCATGAAATGCCCTGGAACTGATGATGAGTCCTCTTCTCTGGGACGAGAGGGCTTTCCTGGGGTGGTGTGGGGAACACTGTATGTGCTCTGGAGACGGGCCAGCAGGGCTTCTAGATCCCTTCTAGAATTTTGAAGGTGCTAATTGAACAAATCCTTTCATTACTGCCTTGTTTATTTTGGAATGGAAATCCTTGTTTAAGTGATTGACTCCTCTAGAATTATGGGGCAACAATCAATAGGTTCCCAAATTGTTCTCTGATGAATCACTTAAGCGAATTGATAAAAATGATTTTGAAGAGATGTGCCCCAAGATGAAGGAAATGCCTAAAATAGGAACAGGGTAAGCTTAGCACTCTGGCTTCATGCAGGATAATCCGATGAGCATTTCCAAGAATGTATTTATTGTGCAACAAAGAGCCAGGTGTGACAGTGATGTGTAAAAAGACTCCCCAGGATGCTGAAGGTGAGCTGTAGAATGGATGTTGCTTCGGGGACCCCTAGGATTTCAGATGCTGGTGGCCCTGCAGAGGCGGGAACACCATGCAGTTAGCTGGGGCAACTGCCATGTGCCCCACCAGGGGTGTTTGGGATAAAAAGCGCCACCCAGTTACAGACATTAGGAGATGGTGTTCATGGCCAAAGGCAGGGGGAGATGGATAGAACAGAGCAAGATGGGGCAGAGGGTGGAGGGGCATTTCACTGATGAAGCTGATGTGCAGCCACGTACGGGCTTGGAAACGCATGCATAGAGTGTCGCAGGGCAGGAGGAGGGTCCAGAAGGACTCGAGGTCCCACTGCATGGTCCTATATTAGTATTGTGAGCCCAAAGTCACCGAGACAGGCTGTGAGGGTGGGAGGAGGTGCATCATTGGGAAAAGAAGAGAAAACGAAAAAGAAGCCAACTTAAGCGTGATATTAGAAAAAAAGTTGTCCACCGTCCAGATGCCTTCATTGTATCAGAAAAATAACAGTCATTCAAGAGACGGATGATGAAAATAGTGATTTGAATCACTTCAAATGGGGCTGATACGGGCTTGTAATATGTTGGGCGTATCTTTTTTCCTGGGAACAGCTGGAAAAGACACCCGGGCATAGATATTTTTATGCATCCTAAATTTCAGCGAGATGCCACATTTGTCTCACTGCTTATAAAAAATGTCCGTCACCAGATACACGATCACGGGTGGCTGTGTGTCTGCACCCCTGTGTGCACGAGTGATTGAGCAATGGTGAGCTATGAAGAGTCATATGTTAAGACTTCATGTGCACACACATGCTTGCAGTCCCTTGCACAATTACATGTCTCCACCCTGTTCTTCTAAACACTACACCAGAAGGGCGGCTGCTCTGGCTGACCCAAATCGTCACCCTTATGCACAAGGAAGGAGGCGTAACACACACGTGTGGGACTACTTCTAACTAGAGGCTGCTGATACCATGTTCCCCACCCCTCCCCCATCCTTGAAACCACCCCCAGACATTTTGCATTGGCACTGGAAGTGCATTTGGTCCCTATCTCAGGAGGCCCGGCTGGTCCATGTGCATGTACGTCATAAGCCCTCAGCTCCTGGCTGCAGGTCTGGAGGTGCCACCAGCTCCTGCCCATGACATGTCTCACTAATCCCCCGTGCAAGGGCCACCAACCTCTGAGGAGGACTGCAAGTGACTCCTTTCAGGGCCCCTCAATGCTTCTCCTTAAATTGGCCAGAAGGGGTCACTGCTGTTGAATGACACAGGTCTCCATCCCTCCCAGGGTTGAGGCTGCAGCTCGGGAAGGCTCCTAGCCCCTGCTCATGGGGTGAGAAGCAGAATCCAAGGGTTAAACCCTAGTCCTCACCACACATGCACATTGCTGCCCTAGCAGCTAAGCAGACCACAGCTGAGGTCCACACGCTCCCTGTGCTTCCACACCTTTGGACGAGGCAGCTAGGCCTGCCGGGGGCATTTCTATTGAAACAATAACGGAGGGTTGGTTAATTCAGTAGACAGGATTCAAAGAGGAGGTCACTGCAAGCCAGCAGATGCTTGTCCTTCATGTCCATTCAAACAGAGGACACAGAAATGTGTGCATTTTTCTAACCTGATTGCCTTTGCTGCCTCTCTTGTCCATCTGCAAATTCACTTAATTAAAACATCTTTAATTGCACAGTGTGGGGAGACAGTTGAAATTCTCTCATTTTCTAATCGCGGCTTGTTCTCACAAAGTCCAAATGGTTTCAACTCATTAAAAACTCTCTTGACACGAGTATCTTTGCTTTGGAGGAAATATAATGGAGTGGAATAAACTTTGGGCTCTTTAAAATAAAATGGAAAATAATTTACGTAGCCCACATGTGTGCAAGAGGCTGCTGTTCTCCAGCCTTGGCAGACATCACTAATGGATGGCCCATCAAACCCTGCCAAGACCTCAGAATCCTTGTCAACACTGCTAGCTGACAACAGGAGATTGAGCTGGCAGGAGAGAAGAAACCTCTTTGCCATCCCTGGATTAGACACTGAGCTCCTCAGTGACAGGATCTGGGTTTTCTTTTTCTTTTTTAGAATTAATCTTGGTGTTGCCTGTCCCTGGTGTCGTATAGGGCACACAGTTAAAGCTCAGAAAACACTTGTTGAACTGATCTGCATTCTTGCAGGGACTTTATGTGGCTAGGTCACAGTCTCAGAATCTTCTGGAATGTATTTTCCTCATTTGTTAGAGAAAACTAACAAATGTTAGTTTCTAGAAACTAAATGAGATGAATAAATGGAGACTTGTGTGCCCTTTATGGGTTGATTTATTTGTACCAAACTATTTTCTCTTTGCATTTTTCAAACTAACCAGAAGAGGATGTAGTTTACTGGTATCTTAATAAAAAGATTGCTTTATTTTTGCCTTTGATATTTTTCCTGATTCTTAGGAACCGAGGACACTCTTCAGAAAACAGGGACAACTGTGGCACTGTTGAAGGAATACCACTCCAAGTAGTCTTAAAATTAAATAGGTAGCTCCCCTAGACTGGGCCCTCCCTCCACATTTTCTTTCTAAATTTAGCAAAGGGATGAGAACCAGGCCCTCCCTCTGCCTATGGAGGAGAGCAGAAGAGGCCCAACGGCCCAGTGACCTCAGGTAGCGAGGAGGAGTTGGTTTTAGCCAAAGAGAATCCAGCAATGGAAAGTGAGAAAAAATGCAGGGGTGGGGGGTGTGGATTTGAAAGACACATGTGGAAGTACATGGGAAATCCCCATGACAGGTTTATTCCCACATGGAGGGAAATGGAGCGGGATCAGAGCAGGGGTGTGGGCAGGAGACCCAAAGGGGCGAAAAGTGAGAAGGAGGGAAAACAAAATCATAATGGGGAGAGTTTACAGGAAATAGGGTGCATTTTGAAGACACAGCATCTAGAGGATGTCTGTCCAGGAAGCAAGTGTCAGGACTCGAAGGTCAGCAAACCCACGGCAGGTGATGTGGCAAGGGCTGCACCGAGGGAACTGCCCAGTGACCGTGGAGGGACAAGGGACCAGACAGGCTCACAGGGGGACTGAAAGCGATGCGTAGTCTAATGCGGGGTCCTGGGATTCCCAGTCAGCAAGAAATTAAGCAGCAGGGACAGAATTTGGGAAGACAGAACAGGAGATGAAGAAAGTTCCTGCAGTTTCTTTGGGGATGCCCCTCAGCTGTCCACTTTGGAGGACAAAGCAGCTCCCTTCCCACTGGCCTCTGTCCTTTGTCAAAACTCAGAAATGAAAGAAAGTGGCTAGGGGTCCTGACCCAGCCCCTGCGCTAATGAAATGGGTCAAGTGAAATCCGCTGAGCTGCATTTTCAGTGGCCGCCAGTTAATTGCCTGAGTCTGAGACCAGGGAGGGGAGGCCATGGTGGGAAGGCCCGTCAGATTACAGAATGGAGCCCGAGCTCCCGGAGCTGGTCTCCTGTGGAGGGCTTGTCTCTGACGCCGCGCTGGGAGCCCCGTCCACGCCACCAGGCATGCGGCTAAGTGATATTTTAATTAAACCTTAAGTGACATATCTCCTGTCTGACTCTGATGGCGTTTTAATTTGGGTCCCACCGCAGTGCAGACTCTTAATATCCCTCTCGAATTCCCAGTTTGCAGTGGCTCCCTCCCCACCTCACCCCTGGCCCGGCCTTCCCCTCCCCTCCCCACCTGCCCAGAATGTATTCGCAGCTCCAGGAGACTCTGACATGGGCCCCAGGAACTGGCAGACAGGCAAAGGCAGGATGTCAGACCTAGAAGGAAAGCGAGACTTACAGGTACCTGACTGGACAGACTCAGGTTTGTGGCCGGGGTCTTCTTCTTGCTGCCGGTGCTGTTGGCTGTGTTCCCAGCACTGCTGTTGGAAGTGCTGCTGGTGGAGTTTTTCCTTTTTCTCCGTTTAGTTGTTGGTTGCCTTGTGGGTTCTGCTGCAATGAGAGAAATGGAAGGAGAGCATCAGCAACGGGCCACCATCAGACGTCTGTCCTCTCTGGAAGCTGTTTTTGTCAATCAAAAACCAGCAGATTCTTTCATTCTTTATTTTTTTTATTGTTACTTATAACTTTACCCTCCCTCCCAAAAAAAATTTGGATTTATTTTTAGCACAACATGTGTGAAACTCTTTCCTTTTGTATATAGACAAAATGATTTGTATTTAACACTCCTTCTAAAGCCATACCTATGTAATCTCTAAATATATTTTAGGAGTTAGCTACAAATTATCGCTTTGGTAGTTGAATTAACAATATTATCACCATTACAAATTTTGGGAAAATACTTCTATTCCTTCTCTTTGAAACAGTGGGAGGGCTCTGGGATTCCCAGAGCCCCAGGGAGTGCAGAAGAGTGAAGCAATGTATAATAGCAACATCGACTAGCTAAGCAGCATATTGCAGCTTAGCTCTATTACAACTGAAATGTTCAAGTGAAAAGAAAAGGAAGAGTCAGTTCTACCAGCCATGAACGTGAAACTTAAGGATTCACATAAAAATACTCATGACTTGGACTCTGGTATTTACAGAATGCTAATAATTTGGCATTTTGGAATTTTTGAATTTTGAAACCAACATATTAGTGAAGGGAAGCCAACCCACTTCAAGAAAGTCCTGTTAGAAATAGAGAAAAATACTTTGGACCTGAAGGATGGACAACATTTTAAGGGATGTATAGGAAACCATGGTAATATGTACGAAGAGGAGTATTATTTATTATTTATTTATTATGTATTGTGAGCACTGCGTACTCCATATTTTCATAGTAATAATGTTTTCATATCCCTAATGTTTTTTTATGTAGTAAAAATTTTATATTCGTAACCACTTTATTAATTAGGCATCATTATAATCTTTGTTTTGTAAATGAGAAGCCTTTTCCAGGTAGTACTAAGTTGGAAATGGCATCCTTTTTGTGAACCCTATTGTAGACTCAGCTCTGATGGAGAGATGATAAACAGGGCTATATTGGTGCTGAATGGGATGATCTGGTAGCATTTTCTTGAAATACCTGCAATGCTTCTGATGGAAAATGGAAGGATTTCCTTAAATGGCTATTTCAAAACTACTTTTCTACCAAGTTATATCTGATTTTTATGAAGAAGGGATTATATTCCTATTTATATGCCATGTTTTCTTTCAATAAATACTTTTGTCATTTTATGTTCAAAGATTTTCATGGAAGAATCTATGATCTCTACTGATAAAGCTATGGGTTCATGTTCTGAAAACTATGGAAATAGGAAAAAGAGTTTGTTTTAGTTCATACAGTTTGCGGGAGAGTCAAACAAATACCCAGGTTTCCTCTGACAAACATTTCCTTCCTTTGAGCTCAAGAGTTAAATCTGCTCTTTTAAAAATATCTGTGCATTCTTTATACAATTGTGGGAAAATGATTTAAGTTTCACTCTCTGAATATCTCCTCTTGGTGGCAGGTAGCTTTAGTAATACAGTTATGAACTGTTGGAGACGTAGAAACGACACACAGTCCTCTTTTGTCTATTATCTAGGAGACTGACTTTGGCAAATTACTACTTTAAATCTCAGGTCCCATTACATGAAATGGGAATAGCATTCAATACCCTGTCAGGTTATTGTGAGAATTTATTAAGATGAATGGAAGGTCTATGAGAACTGGGATTTTGACTATTGTCAAATAGTTGTCTCGCCATTGGCTGGATCATCATCTAGCTTCTAGTAAGGGTTCAATACAAAATATTTGAATGAATATGTGATTAATAATTAATTAATAAATACTATATGAATTGCATATGTGGATAGGTTGAAAAAGACAGCTGCTCAAAACTTTTGGTGAGTAAAATCTGTTTTTTTCCAATAAAGACATTGATATCGAAAGAGAAAATGAAACCAATTTAAGCACACTTAATATATTTTAAAAAATAATATTCCAAATGTCTAAAATTCCCCCAAGGAAAGGATGCAACACTTCTGTTAAAATCGTGTTCATTTTCTCAGCTTTCTAAATATGTACTCGGTTGAATCTGCTATAATCATTTTATGTAACACCTCTGGCCAATTACCAGTGGAAGGTGACCATTGTATTTTGTGACTCAGAAAGCTATGTGCCTCATGTTAATAATTACTCTTTATAAAAATAACTTTTAGCGAATGGATACGTTTTGCTTTTATGATCAATGAGGCTCGACACACGCCTGGGAGTGAAAATGTATTTAGATAGAAAGACAATTAATGATGACTTGAAGCAGTAATTTCAGAACCCCAGCAGGAGGCTGTAGTATCTAAACTGTATTCTAGGAAAGGAAGGAATAGAATCTTTTATATTCTTTTCATGAACAAAGTAGCCTTTGATATAATATTTCTTAATAAACAGAGCAATTTTATTCTTTTCTTCCTCTCTCCCTTCTTTCCTTTACACAATTTATATCATTCTTTTAAAAATAGACAAACAAAAATAGAATCAGGCCATGAGAAGCCAGCAGTCTTGTCTGGGGATCCACCACTAGACTGGGGGACAGGAGTCCTTGGTTCTGATTTTGGCTGAGCAAATGATGTTCTTGATAACACTAAGCAAGTTCTTTTTACTCCTCTGGGGTTTCAGGTCCTAAACTGGCAAGTGAGGAGATTGTGAATGATTCCTAGTGATGTTTTCCTTTTAAAATTCAGTGTTTCTAAGTCCAAGCCATGTTCAGAAACCCTGTAATGGTTGCCTGGTAAACTTAAGATCACCTTTTCCTTTTTCCTTGCCCATAACTTCTTCCCGAGAAGAAGCCTCTGAAAATGCAATTAGAAGGAATGAATAGAGAGTACCTGGCGGGGCCACCATCCGCTGCCACTTCTGAAATAAGCAGGTCTTCAGACAGTCTCGTGGGCTGAGGTTGTAAGTTTTATGTCTCGACATCAGTTCCTGCATTGGCTCCAGTATTACACACAACTGTGAGGAGTTCAAAGACATTGGACTTTCACTACTAGATAATAGTAATTGCAATAAGTAATACTACCAGCAGGAATCCATCAGAAAGCTGCAAAAGGTATTTTTCTTTGGTTTTGATTTTGTTTACTCAAGTTTGGTGGAAAAATTTTATTAACCCTTGATTTGCCTCCTTAACTTACCATCATTTATAATATAACAACGTGATTTACACACCTACGTACTGACAGACTTAATTCTGTACAAACTATTGGGTGGATGTATGTGACTATTCCGAATTCAACTCATTCTGGGTAAGGAAAAGAGCGCCTTTCCACAGGCACAGCATGCTGTGATTTCTCCTCTGTCTTCTGCTGTTGCCCCTGTTTATATGACCATACACAGTGAGTTACAATTCCAGTTTATGTAAATTACACGGCAGAGAAAGCCACCTTCGAAACTTCAGACGAACGAGTTGACAGCTGCAGGTACTTTTTTGATCTTAATTTTAGAAAAGCTGTGATGAAAACTATTTTATTTTTTTATTCACATACTCATTTGTATTTTACACGTGATGGTGATGTCAACAGCATAGGCTGACATTTGCTCAGTGTAGGAACTTCCGTGGTTCTATACTCAGTTGCCTTGTTCCCTCCTTCGGTTAGATTTTTTCAGCTTTACTTTGGTTTATGAAATTGATGACAAAGATAAATGAATGAAACGAGCAGGTAAATCCATTTAGGATGACCGTGGACTTTTCCTTATCGGAATATCATTGCGTGGAGAGCGCTGTATCCAAGAGGACAAAAAAGACCCCAATGTGGAATGACACATCAACTGTAGTGGCAATTTCAGGGAAACAAGTATCCATAATGCTCCTTCCTTCCCATGTGGGAGAATAGCATTTGATTATGAAAGATGGTTATGTAATCTCCAACTCCATCAACCCGTCTACTTCACTTCCCAGCCCTCTGACATCTCACCTGGATGATTTCCCTGGAGGACACATGGTTTTTTTCCACTGCTTCCCTCCACCTGGAATCCTCCCGTCCCCTCTTCTTGGTTAAGGCCCATCATCCTTGACACAAGGTAACTGTTGTTACTCCTTCCCCCCAGGAGGACCATGCACCTCTGTGCATGGCTGAGTTGAGTGTGTCTCTAGAGTCCTCCCATAGCACACAGTCCTTTCTACTCTATGAACTTACTCATTCATGCTTTGTAACCATCTGCTTCCAAGTCTGTCTTTTGTACTTGATCTTGAACTCTCTGAATGCCAGGAATGTGTGTTTTATTTCCATGTTGCCAGGTTTGGTTCAAAGTAATGGCAACCTTTAAGCAGTGGGTATAAGAGGCCCACAGAATCCTTCTTTGCCAATGTTCCCCTAAGTGCAGTTTAAGGAACATTTTCATCAAATCAAATCAGCTAATGATTAAAAATGCTGACCCCCAGGTTTACCCCATCTGAGTGCAGGCAAGGCCCTGAATCAACATTAAAAAAAAAAAAAATAACCCTCCTGCCTAATTCTGATAACTACGACTTGAATTTGAGACCCACTGCCACATGCCTGCTGGGTTTTAAGACAGATTACTATGGATCACAAGTTGAGCACAAATCCTCAGTGGTATCCTAGTGCAACCCCACCCTCTTCTCACTCTCCCCACTTCCCAGGCCTGGCCTCTCTTCTCAAGTCTTCACACTAAAATCTCAAGTCTTCACACTAAGATTATGTTCCAGAAAAATTCCTTAGGACCCTCTGTATTTATCAATGATCAAAACTGGACCAAAATCACTACCCCCATGGAAGGGACAGCAGTCATTTCCTTCCATTTGCAGTTTCTCTGGAAACTTAACTAAACACAGCCTCAGTCTCGCATGTCTTCTTGCTGGCCTGGGGACCCTGGGAACCCTTTTGAAGTCTACAGTGTTAGTAAGAACACAAACTTGTGCATGAGGAAGGGCTACTGTGCAATTAATGCCCCACCCCAATGCTTCTGGGACTCTGTGTGTGTCCCTCCATTACAAATTCCTCAGTGGAAGTCACAGCACAGACAACCTCAAGCCTTCCCAACCCCGGATGCTCGCCAGACCTTCCCGAGGGTAAGAGGCCACAACCACGCCTACTAATGAAAGAGGAAAGGAATACTCACCAAAGAAAAACCACTGCTAGATTCAGACAGGACCAGATGATGTTTGCATGTATCAGGAAGGGAGGGTAGTAAGAACAGCAGTCCCAGACATGCTAAGAGCCGGGAATTTATTTTTGTAAGTGACATAATTTAAGTTGAAATGTTTTTAAACCACTTCCTTTCAGTGCATTCCCCATTCTTGAGAAATGGGCTGACAGCACACGTGATAGACGTCGGCGGGATGGAACCAGCAGGGATTTTGAAGGCGAGAGGTCTAAGTAGAGACTGACTCCATCACTAGGTGTGTGCCTTTGAGTAAGTCCCCTGTAAGCCATTCCTCCCACAAGGAGGGTTGTCAGAATTGGACATGATGCATCCGACATGGAACAGCACAACAAACAGTGGGCATTGCACATTACCAAGCACAGCACAGATCACAAAACGAACCACATTATTATTTTATTTTATTTTAAATCAACAAGCATTTACTGAGCTTCCTCCTAAATACAGACAATCTGCTTAGGTTCTGGGGAATGTAATGATGAGAACAAAATAATCTCTGTCCTCTAAGAGTAGTCAGCCCCTTAAAAATGTTTAAGCATATCAAGAAAATGACCCTGTGTTTACACTTTAAGCATCATAGGAAATCACATCTTTCTGAAGCAAATATTTTTCATTATAGGACAAGCTAGACGGCAAAGATACTCTGCTTGGACCCAGGAAGGGCCACGGGCACGACCGTGCTAGGAAGTGGGTGAGCTGCATTTAGTATGAGAAGCTATGAGCTCATTATCTTTCTTTTTTATGGTGCTTTTCCTCTCTGGTTTTTGGCAACACTTTTTTCAGGTGCTAATCCTTAGGATTTATCCCTTCCCCTTTCATGTAAAAATATCTTCCCATCGCTGTAACCCATCCCAGGGGAGTTTGCCTCTCTGCATATTAATCAGGAATCCCCAAAGCCATTTTCTTGCAGCGGCGGGTCTGCGCGGTGCAGCAGCCTCCTAGCTCACACATGCAAAGGAGCCTTCCCTCTGCCGGGAGCTGCAGGCTGTGTGGGGCTGCGGGCTGCAGGGGGCAGAGCTGACTCAGGCAAGAGCCTGCCTCCTCTGGCAGGAAGCCAGCGGGTCTTGGCAATAGCAGAGGCCTGGAGCATTATGAAATGAGATCAGGAAGAAGGCTGGGGAGTGGGTTCCCGCAGCCACTAGCCAAATCCTCTGGAGCCACGACTTCTATTCTCCTTGAGGTTTCAGACCCTCTTGAGACTCTAGCGAAGGCTCAGCCGCCTGTCTCTGAAGTTTCCATACAACATACCTGAAGTTTTGGAAGCCTCTTCTCCCCACTCCCACCACCCCCACATTAATTACAGGTAAAGAGGCACCTGTCTGCAACAAGCAGGAATCAGGCTCAATATACAAGCCTTTCCCTCACCCTAGACACACACATACACACACACGCACACACACACACAAACACTCTTAAACCTCAAAACCTCAAACCCATTTATAGAACGAAGCATAATTACACAGGGTCCTTTGATGTTGAAGAACAATTTCATCTGCAGAGTTGGGTCTGCTACAAAGACCTCAATGCACTAGTCTCTGCTGATAATGAAGGCGCAGACAGTGTGTCTGTGACACCGGCAGCCCCTGCAGTAGCCTGCATGCCTGCAGCTTAGCTTGGTGCCCTGCATTGGTGTTGGTGGATACTGGGAGGAATCCCAGGGCACGCGGAATAGGGCTGGAGCCAGCAAGGGTGGAGACCCCCTAAACATGCAGCCCCTGCTAGGCCCACTGGGTTTGGGCAAAGAGACGAACAAGGGTCCCAAAGAAAGCCACTGCCCACCCTGGCCAAAATCCAAGGATGCCCCTTTGCAAATTCAGTGAGAGTTATAGGCAGGGTCTTTTCTCCGTGTGCTTCTGATTCAGTTTCTGGGATTCTGGCTCCAGCACTGACTCTTTGGTGTGGAACCGAAACCTGTAACCACAACAGTGACTTGCTGAGCAAGTGGATGGGTGAATGGATGGATGGGCAGGTGGGTGGGTGACTGGGTGGGTGGGTGGGTAGCTGGTTGGGTAGATGGATGGATGGATGGATAATAGGTAGTCTGGTCAGATCTATAGCAAGGAATCATTTGCTAATTTTGAACAAATTGGGCTTTGTTCTGTGAGGTTATAAGTGATGAATTTGTCTATTTGATCAGTAACTGATTGCCTCCTCTGTGCAAAAAGCTTCATACAAATGCACAAGTGTATACCCGATGTCCTGGCCAGGCAGGAGATGGTAGTTTCATGCCAGGTCTCCTGCCTTTTCATGGTAACAAAGGGCCTAACAAATGTAACCAGCATGCTGTTTTGCTTTGTTTTTATCTGACAATTCTCCTGCAGAAGTTTAATTCTCCTTAGCTACCCATTCACACTCAGTCTTCTTGTTTGTCTCTTTGCCCAAACCCAGAAACAGGTGGTGCTTCTCAGAGCTGACTCTGGACCTACAAAAAAGCTACTATCCTGGGGTGGCATTTGGTTGACTCCCAAGAAAGCCCGGGCTATCAGCAATATTTTAGATCAACCTTTTCTGATGCTGTTTTCTTAGCAAACACCTACTCTTCATTGAAGTTCTAGATATTTCTTCCCTCTTTCCCAGTCATCTTAAGTAGGAGTTGGCAAGCTACAAGCTATGGGCTAAATACAGCCACACCCATATCATTGATAACTACACTTGGGTTGCATTGGCAGGGTTGAGTGGTTGCAATGGAGTCCATATGGCCCACCACCCCCCAAACTCTTTCCTGTAAGGATATTCACATGAGGATCATTGGCCCCTGTTCTAAACTAGTGCTCCTCAAAAGAGGTGGTCTACAAACTGTTAAGCATCCATGAAAGGATAAGGAGCTTGAGGCA